ATACCGGCTGGACAGGGTACGGCAGGGATTACCGGCCAGTGTGTCCTAACGCTGTATCCACGATCTGCGCCATACCGGTTGGGACAGGGTACGGCGGGAATTACCGGCCACTGTGTCCTAACACTGTACCCACGATCAGCCGCCCACTCGAGGCCTCGGCACCGTACACCAAGGTCTTGGCCATCTTGGGGATCGTGCCTGCCGAGACCCCTCCACCATGGTGCAGCCTCGACACCGACCAAGTCTCGGCCTCGCGCGCAGTCCGTCCACAGTGGCTTGCACGTCCCGGGGCTCCCACGACGCACAGGATCTGATAGGACGGCCACGTCGCCCCAGTGCTCCAAGGACGGACCACTCCGACGGCCACACCGCCACAGGAACAGGCTACAGGGCTCGGACACGCCGCCTCTGTTCACACGACGTCGTATAGTTAGCTCATGTACCGCCCTAGTCCTCCCTTCATGCTATAAAAGGAGAGGACCTGGGCTGTTTTAAGGGGCCAGGAAAAAAAAACTTGTAACACACACACATACACACACATCCCTACCGTCTGAGAGCAACGTCTCAAGCGGCCCGTACGACACCCTGCCGAGATCTGGGACCAGATCCCTCTCTCCTTTAGCTTGTAACCCCCTACTACGAGCACCTCGGTGCAAGGAATACAAGATCGATCTCTCAGACTGGACGTAGGGCCTCGATTGCCCGAACCAGTATAAACCTTGTGTCTCTTTGCATCACCATCCGCAATCAGAAGCACGCAGAACAAATTCATTAGTCGGTTGAGGACCCCCGGTCCGAAACACCGACACTTTGCTTCTATGCATTCGGAACCAAATAGGCATGTTCGCTTGAACTTATTAGCCGGCATATCAGCTAGAATCTACAGTATTTTTCTCTCGCATCAAAATAGTTTCAGTCAACTTTAATATCTGCCGAACAGACCCTGGATGAAACTATTTATGCTATCCATTAAAGATAACTATTCACTCGTATGTTTTCAGCGGGGAATGGCCATGTTCCTTTGTTGACTGAACTTTTTTAGAGCAAAGATTTTGAAAAGTAGTTGAGCCTGCTTAGCCTGTAGAAACCAGACGAGGCACAGAGCAGAGGTGATGTAGTGTCCTGTGCCGACTGCCGAGCAGTACAGTATGCTGCTACTATTACATCGACAGTAATCCTCTCGTGATGCCGGCATTATTGCTTACAGGGCTACGGCCTACAGCGTTATTGGCTCGCAGGTCAAGGCCGCCGTTCGTTTGGGTTTGAATAGGCTGTGTTTAGTTTGTGAAATTTGAGAATTTGACTATTGTAGAATTTTCGTTTTTATTTGATAATTATTATTCAATCATGAATTAATTAGGCTTAAAACGTTTGTCTCGTAATTTTCAACCAAATTGTGTAATTAGTTTTTTTTCGTCTACATTTAATGCTTCATGTATGTATCGTAAGATTCGATGTGATGACTACTGTAGCACTTTTTGAGAAAGTTTTTGGAACTAAACATAGCCTTAGTATAAGCCGTATTTGAATAGTAGTTTTCTCTCACGCTAAATCAACTAACACTATTTTTAGTCATGACTTATCTGATAAGTCCTAACGATACAGGGCGTTGGTCCACAGGAAACAATAGTTTTGCTTAGAAACCGAAAGATCCTTTTAATATATGGAGTATGCATCTAATCTAATCCACGAGCGCAGTTTGCATAGTATCATGGGCAAACACAAGACTGTGGAATCACGCATCTTGAGCCGTCTGATCGAGCTTCGATGTCAGTTTGCACCTGCACCTTGCAGCATGGCGTGGTGTGGCGATTGACAGCCCTGGGCCCTGGCATAATAGTCGGGTGTCAGACGGTCAGGTCAAATGGGCGCTGGAGGCCTCGTTTAGTTTCTCCTCTTAAGATTTACTCTCTACCTGATCAAATAATTAGACGCATGCATACAATATTAAATAGATTTTAAAAAATAATTAATTACACAGTTTATGATTAATTTACGAGACGAATCTTTTAAAGCCTAATTAATCCACGATTTAACAATGTGGTGCTATAGTAACACATATGCTAATGATGGGTTAATTAGACTTAATAAATTCATCTCACGAATTACTAACGAGTTCTATAATTTATTTTTTTTATTATTAGTATCCGAACATCTCATACGATATCATCATGTGACACCCTAGGTGACACCTCAAAACTTTACACTGGATTTAAAGCCGGAGCAATGGGCTCAGGGAGTCTGGATTCTAGCTATGGAGTAATTGTGGTAATCTTCAGTGGAGACTCATAGAGTAAAGGCATATTTAGGTGGTGTTTGAATTCAGTGCCTAAAATTGAGGAGGTGTGTCGGAAGAATGTTGCATGTAGTGTTCGGATATTAATAAAAAACAAATTACATAATCCGTCAGTACTTCACGAGACGATTTTTTAAGCCTAATCAATCCGCCATTAGCACATGTTTACTTAGCACAACATTGTCAAATTATGGATTAATTAGGCTTAAAAGATTCGTCTCGTAAATTAGTCGCAAACTATGCAATTAGTTTCATGCACGTGTCCAAACATTCGATAGGACATCGACTAAAATTTAGGAGGGGTAACCAAACACCATCTTCGTGACTCAAACTTGTCACGCAAATAGTTAGTCATGCCATAATTTTACAACACTTGTTTAATTCGCAACCATGACTATGACACGTCACACTTTCTTAGCATCCTATATCATATATCATAGACTCACGTGTCACAAGTCACACTTTCTTCTGCCTAACTTTTCCATTAGTATGATTTAGGTTTTGCTCGTCACACTTTTTATGACGGCCACCGTTTGCTGACGGCCACCGTTTGCTGAAAGTTTGTCACGACAAACTAAGACACCGACCAATAGGCCCTAACTGTGGGGTTCTTCCATAGATTCCGGCGATACATGCCCTTGTATATGTATCCGATGCATGCACTTAGAAACTGTAGCCAACAATAATAGATGACGTATTTTAACATTTCAAAACCTATGATACAACACATAAATTGAGTTTTGTTCGATCGAATCGAATCGTTATTAGCGAATTGTTATGAGAAAGAAAAGATATGTGTGCAGTGAGTTTTGGCCGGCTATCGACTTGGTGTCTGTTTAGTTCTTAAATTCTTAAAATTTTGCAAAATTTCACATCGAATCTTTGAACGCATACATGAAGCATTAAATATAAATAAAAAATAAAACTAATTACACAGTTTAGACGAAATTTACGAGACAAATCTTTTAAAACTAATTAGACTATAATTGTACACTAATTGACAAATAACAACGAAAAAGTATAGTAATATTTTCCATAAAATTTCGCCAACAAAAGAAGGCCTTGGTTGCGGCACGCGGTTGGCGCTTAAATGGGTTATAAGATCTAAAAATAGTTTTCGTTTCGTTATACGCGTACAAGTTAAAATATAGGTTAAGATAAAAAAAAAATTAAGGACCCACTCAACCATCAGGCCATGGCTCCATGGCTATCTCCGTCTCCGTGCCCGTTCAACAAGGCAGCTTGACGTGAGTCAGTTCTCCGACGATGGTTTGCACCGGCGAGGCAACAGCCAACGGGTCCACACCGCCGTAGGCCGCAGGCCGCTGCGCCATGCGCAGAGTGCAGCATCCAACGCCTCGTCACTCTGCCCGAGCCTCTGACAAGGTCAGAGCGCGCAGTGCTGCACACAGCACACCCCTGTCCCTCCTCGCGTCCCCAGGAGGAACCACCAGCCGGGGCCCCCCGCCCAGACGCCCACCGCCCCAACACGGCAACACCACCGAGGCGCGCTCCCCACACAACACAACGAAAGAACATGATCCCCTGCCCTGGTACAGGTGTCACAGGCCACGCAAAGCCACAGGCACACCACGTCAGCACCAACAATCGCACACGTAAGACCGTCTCCGACAAACCATGCATAACGGTACTCAGACCCATTTTACGTCCTGTACAGTGAAAAAACACCGTCCAAATAGGTAAAGGGTGCACCTATTTTGGTAGGAGGGAGAGAAAACCAGATATGCGTCCTCTTTCCGTCGTCTCTCTCCTCGACCCAAGTCCTTGCGCCGTCAGACATGCTGGGCCCGTAAGAGGCGGCGAGGAGCGCGTGGCGTGGCGAGGCGGGACCGCGACGGGGAGCCGCCCGCGCAGCGAGGCGGGTTCGCGGCAGGGAGCCACCGGCGCAGCAAGGTCCGCCTCGAGGCGTTGCCGGCGGGTACCGCGGCGAGGCGGCAGGCACGGCATCACCCACGCCGGGCCCCGATCGATCCAGGGACAGCCGAGCGATGGAGACGCGAAACCCTAGGCCGGCGTTGTCGTCTCGCCAGGGGCCATCCGACGTGCCGAGGTAGGTCACCGCTGCGCGCGGGGATCGGCGGCGTTCGGGGCGAGGAGCAAGGAGAGGGACCGAGACAGGCAGAGAGAGAGGGAGGAGGTCGTGAGCAGACAGAGGAAGGAAGGAGGCGGAGGGGGAGAGGGCCACCGGCGTGCCACCCGCGAGGGCGGTCGTCGCAGCGCCGAGGTGCTCTCACGCCGCCACCCTGTTCGTTTCGAGAGATCAGGAGGAAGAGGAAGGGAGGGGAAGAGAAGTGACGAGGGGAGTGAGAGAGGAGAGGAGATATTTTTACCGGTGTACTGTAGATGACGAGGCAGTGATTCTTGACTGTTGGAGAAACTAAATTTAAGATGCGGACCTTTTTTTCTCTGCACGACCCAAACCAGATAATATACGCTGTGTTTAGGTTTCATCGTTGAAGACGGTCTAACAAGAGAAGCAACGCAGCGAGCCAGCGACGCATGCCATCGGACGTCCCAAACCGGGTTTTTTTTAAACGTCCCAACCGGTTTTATAAAAAGCAACAAACGGGAAAAAAATTACAGCACGCACGACATAGTAATCCCTGCGGATTCCGTTTCCCCTCGTGATTCCGAGGCCTAAGAGCGAGCCCAGGACAGCGCGGTCGGCCCGCGGTGCGCTAACTCACGTGGCACGCGCGGCGCTGTGGGCGAGGAGGACGCTGGTGGGGGAGGAGAGTCCGAGCCCGTGCGGGTGCGGGGGCGCGGCGCCCCGGTGGACGACGGGGCCGCCGAGGCTGCTGGCGGCCGCCGCGCTCGGCGCCGGGGCGGCTGCAGGGGTGGCGGCGGCGGCGGCTTCCACAGGCTTTCTAGAACGGCCGCGGCCGCGGTGGACGTGGCGCTCGCAGTACTTGTGGCCCGGCACCACGTCGCGGGAGCACCGCCACTTCTTGCCGTCCGTACGCCGGCACCGCCCGGGCTCCGGCTCCATGCTGCTGCGGTAGTCGAAGCACAGGCTCCCCAGGCCCATCACTGCAACACATTCATTCCATACGGCAAAACCTTTATCGCTCGGAACAGCGACGACGCCGGTCGTACGAGTATTACCGAACAGTACAAACGAAAAAAAAGGGCGGCTGAAGCTTCGGTCGGTGCTTACGCGAGGGGAAGCGCTGGGGGCCGAAGGAGGAAGCGGCGACGCTCTTCCAGATGGGGAGCACCAGGTGCACCGGCACCGGCGCGCCCGCGGCGAAGTAGCGGTAGATGAGCACCTGGTGCTCCAGCTCCTGCTGCTGCATGAATGTCAGCGCCGACGCCCTCTTGGGTGTGGGCGTCGCCGTCGCGGGGGACGCATCCGCGTCTCGCTCGCCGCTCCCGCCGCCGCCCGCGCCCCCGCCGAGCCCCAGTCGCAGCCCCAGAACCAGCGGCGACGAGGCCGCCATGGTCACCTCTCCTGCAAAGTGCAAACAAAGCAGAAACGCCAAACCGAGCGATCAGCTACCCAGCTACTTTAACCGAACGTACCACCCGCGCGTACTTACCGGCGCTCGTGTCGGCGCAGGAGAGACGGGGCATCTTGGCCAGCGGCTGCGGCGAGTCGGTCTCCTTGTCCTCGGCCATTTTGGAGACTCCGGTGTTGCGCTTCTTCCTGTGGCGGTTTGGATTCCAACTTTATGGAGTGAAGGAGAGTACTAGGAGACTACGAGAGGGAGCGCGCGGGCAGCTTCTCGAGACGAGACGAGAGGAGGAAAGAAGAGACAGCAGCGGTGTCAGAGGGAAGTGTGAAGCGGTGGATATATTTGCATGACGGCTCCCGTCTTCTGGTCGCTCACTCGGTAAACTTGTGTCTGTGGCCGGCCGGCGTATGCGCTCCAAAAGCAACGGGAACAGTAGTCGTCGTAGTAAAAGCTTTTGTCGTTGCGGTGGCAATGCCATCCTGCCATGGCAGCGGCAGGTGACACGCATGGATATCTTTTGGCCTTTTGTTGGTTTTGTAGGACGGGACGGAGTTTGGCCGGGCTTTATCGCACTCGCCTTTCGCAATGTCATGTCACAAAGTTGATTTGATCAGGCGGTAGTATTACCAAAATGCTGCTCTTTCTGTGAGAGAAACCGGTGAAAGAAAATAGCTGCAGGGGGAAAACTCCGCGTGGATCTACTCGCCATATCACGTGAAGATCAGGCAGGCTCCCGCTCTGACTTCTGACACGGTGTCAGCCTTTTGTTTCGGTCTGCGTTCTTAATAATTTCCGCCATGGCGCCATGCCGTGACCAAGCAGCTTTTTAAAATTTGATTAAATATAAAGATATCAATTTTTATGAAGCATAATAAATACAGTTCAATTATTAATAAAATATTGTTCATAATAAATATATTAAATGAAATAAAACTTTATGATATTTTATATAAATCTTTTTTAAATTTAGAAATTTTGGACTCCTCAAAAAACGAGATGCACGGTTATTTTCATATAAGACTAAAGAAAAAAAAATCTAGAGTAATCTTTGTCCAATCCAAACGGGAGCCTAGCCTTTTCAGATCAAAAGAGAGAAAAAAAAGAAAAGAGCACAAAAAAATTTGGTTGCAGCAGGTCGCGCCTCCCCTGGCGCACTGCGCTGAAGCAGCGAGGCAGGCCATGTGGCCAGGCGAGCGGGGAGCGCTAGTCGCTGACTGCTGACTGGGGACTGGGGAGACCGGACCTGACCGTGACCGAGACCGGGCCGGCGGGCCGCGGTGAGCCAAAAAAAACTGTGGTCGAACGTCCTGACGGGACATGGGACTACGCCCTACAGGAGGGAGACGCCGACGGAGAGCGCCAGAGCGGGATGAGCGATCTGCTTCCTCTGCTCCACCCCACCCGGCCCCTACCGTTGTGGCGCTGTCCGCGCTGCGGCGGGCGCGTGCAGCAGCCAGGCGCCAGCAGGCTCGTGCCTTTGCCGAGAGAGCTGGGGTCCCGGGGAGCCGGGGCAGGCGCGCGCGTGCTACGGATGTGGGCAAGGACATGGCGTGTCGTTCCCCACGCCGGCAGCCGCGGCGGTCCACGGATTTTGGCTGTTATCACGCCATGATTGGGCCGTAACCCCGATCAGGCCCCTCCTGGAGCGGGACTACGAGGCTGATCACGGGGGCAGCCGCGTACGGCGTGGAGCTGTTCCCAGCTTGGCGGCCGCGTTCGGACGGGCTGCCAGTTGCCGGTGACGACGTTGAGCTCTGCGGTGACGGAGACCAGCTGAGGTTTTCAAACAAACGCATGCCGAGTGCGAGGCAGTTGTCGTCGCCTCGTCGGAGGCTTTGCAGCTGCAGGCATGCGGCGCGGCAGTGTAAAGCTGTGAGCTTCCGCAGTTCCAACTGACACGATACCCTAGAAAAAAAAACTTCACTGCAACAACAGCAAGTGAAAGCAAACCTCTGAGTCTCTGACCACCCAATGGCCCAATGCCACAGAATCGACCATCACGAAAGAAATTCAATCCTTCAGTCAGACGATACACCCTTTCAGATAAAGTTCTCACGCACACATGTCGACAGACCATACTGCTGCTCCATAGTCCTAGTCCATACTCTCTCCGTGCAGCTATAGGTTTGATCCGAGCTAAAGTTTAGAAGTGTCACGTCAAAGTATTTGATAATAATAATAAAACGAATTACACAAGTTCTCAGTAATCCGTGAGATAAATTTATTAAACCTAATTATTTCACCATTAGCATATATTTCACTGTAGCACCACGTTGTCAAATCATGGACTAATTAGACTTAAAAAATTCGTCTCGCAAATTAGTCTCAATCTGTGTATTTAGTTTCGTAATTAGTCTATATTTAATACTTTATACATGTGTAAGCATCCGATGTGACAGGGGCTAAAGTTTAGGAGTGAGAAATAAACAAGGCATATCCATGACAAATCTATTGATTACATATCTTTGGATATAAATTTAGTCATACTTAAGAGGATTTGACTGAACACTATTCTAGATTTGCATCTTTTATGAAACAGAGGTCCTATATATATTTGCTAAGAATCCAATTCCAAAGTCATCTCCTGATAAAAGTTTACAAATGAAACATCGTGAACTACAATTATATGGCACAACAGAAGCAGGCAGGAAGCTCCTCAGTTCATTCCAGCTGCATGGTATTCATAATACCCTAGGATACTAGGAGTCATAGGAAAGTTGAGCCAAATTACACCTTGTCTTACTCCGTTTAATAATCTGAAAGTTTAAAGGAGTATGGCATGACATCCCCTATGAGAAACCTATCTGTTCCAATGAAATACATTGCACACGAAACAGGGGTGTGCTTATTGAGATCCCCGGAGAGAAAATGTCAATTCAGATGGAACAAATAGCATCAACATACAGTTGTCTGCAGCTCCATTTCTCAAGCCTTGGAAGTCTTACAATTTGGTTCGAAAACATATTTGATCAGTGACTCCTTGATTGACAAAAGCTCTGGGAACTCCCTCTTCAATTTGGTTTGATCAAGCTCATTGTTGCTCCTCGGTGCAACTATGACCTTTGCTTGCTCCTCCAAGTTGAAGTTTTTCCAAGAGAAGCTTGGATCAATGTAGTCTCTGTACATCTCTAGCATTTCATTGTGGCTCACCACACCAGGGTTTGTGAAATTCCATATTCCAGTGAGGTTTCTCTTTGCCATTTCGATTGAGATGGGAAGAAGTTCATCCAATATTGTCATTGAATTTGGGATGTTGACAACCTTATCATATCGGGTGATTTTGGTAATGAAATTGCGAGGATTGGAGAGATCCGATGAAATAGGCATCCTTACACGAAGGGTGCATACATTCTCGTAGTTCTTGAGCAATTCCTCAACCTATAAAAATAAATGTTAGGTTCACATGAAAAGAATAAATGTTACACCATCCAATCGGATACAGCAACTAACATGAAATACATTAAGGTAAAAAAAAAGTAACATGCCAGCATTATTACAAAAATATTTGTCCAGAACGGCTTAGTTTCTCTCTGAAAACATCAAATGGGTGAAGTGTGTGGAACTGCAGATACAGTGATAACTCTTAGGAGCACTATGCCACTCAGGTGCATGAGGCAAAGAAAACTAAATCTATCGAAATGCTCTATCAAGTGAAAAACACTTGCAATTCCATGTCCCTCTACTTGTGCTTGTGCTTTTGTGTGCTACATTGAAGTATAAAGAAACAAAGTACACAAGGGCCCTACTAAAATAAACACCTTTTGCATTGCAATAAGCAACTATTTTCCAAGATTCAAGCTCATGGTATTAGACTGTTCAGAAGAAACCAAAGAGATGTACTGGCCAACAACATACACCACCACCTTGTAATATTAAGCACATTTCAGTACTTATTCAATCATCTAAAGCCTGAAGCAAGATGTTAGTAAATGTCCAATGATAAGGTTATGCACAATAATCATCAGTTCCACACTCTCACATCAGCACAACTCTCAATACAATTTAAGAAATTTCGTCACAGCGTTAATTTCAAATTGCTATTTTCCAATCTAGAGCAGTTCAAACTTTTTTACTACCTGATTGGGGTGACATAATATAGCATTATCCAGAAATATTATTAATATCTTATTGCATTAGCTTTGGGTGTCTGCACTCAAAACATACTTGAGGAAGCTAGTTTATTCAAATCAACAGTCGTCAAGATGTCCTTAAGACCGAGCACCGAGCAGGAACTGATCATGGGACCATATCTTGTCAAAGCGTGGATGTTTAGCCACAAGATGCAGGAGCCATACCATTCAACAAGTCATTGTTTAGCAAGAAACTACAGTTTGAGAAAACAAAAGCGAGCATTCTAAAATAAGACGGTGCGTTTTGTAGCAATCACATACACCATGTAAAATACAAACAGAAATGTAGCAACTGATATCGTCAATTACTGATGTTTCGAACAAAAAAATTGTCAATTACTAGAGTTGCACCTAAGCTGCTTACTTGTTCAGCTTATACAAGTCTCTATTTTAGTTTCCAAGTTGCTGTCTCTATTCAAAATACATGGTTTTCCTCCGAGTAAAACTGAATTAGCCTCACATATATTTGAATTAGTGTAACATGGTAGTATATGTTGAGGCGAGCATCTGCATTTAAATCAAGGACCTCTATAAAACTATTTGCTCCAAATGAAACAAAATTTATCTTTCGCCAAACTATACACATGATAGTGTACAGGCACAAATACAGAGCATCATGGCAGGATCAGAACATTCAGCTAGTGTGGATGGATGGGGAAGACCGGATCAGACTGCCCTGGGAACTCAAAGTGCTACAGGAAATTTTTACAGGCTTCATTCAGAAATACTAGTGCCTGTTTAGTTCCCAAAATTTTGCAAAATTTTTCAAGATTCCCCGTCACATCGAATCTTTGGACGCATGCATGAAGCATTAAATATAAATAAAAAATAAAACTAATTACACAGTTTAGACGAAATTCACGAGACGAATCTTTTAAGCCTAATTAGACTATGATTTGACACTAATTGCCAAATAACAACGAAAGTGCTACAGTACCATTCCCAAAAAAAATTCACCAACTAAACAAGACTCGTAAGTCATCATTTTGCTTAAGTCAACCAGAGCTGAATGGCAACGCAATCAACCATTATGCTGACGGCTGACCAAGATGCACACACTATCAGCTACGTACGGATCTTGTACGTACTACGCCAGATCCAAGTGACAGCACCCTTCAGGATAAAGTGTGCCTGTCGCCTGAATCGAACTCCAACCACTAGTGAGAAATCGACAAGTGAGAGGCACAGTTTTGTACCATGCTCATCGAACTAATCACCCCGGAACATACCCTCGACGCGCGATCAGACAGACAGTGCCACTTCAATTTGAGCAAAACGGGAACGATTTCTTGCGACTTGCCATTTGCAGAGAACCTTGATCATAAAAGCTACGTATAGCATAATGCTGGAAGAGGAGAGAGAATTTAGTTGGTACCATGGCCTTGGTTTTGGAGTAGAATGATCCGACGAAGTTGGGCGTGTCCTCCTCCTTGAAGCCGACCCCGGAGCCGAGCGGGTGTCCCGCGTCGTACTCGAAGATGCAGCCCGTGGCGTAGTTGATGAGCACGAGCCCGCGGCCCCGGCAGACGTCGGCGAGCGTGAGCGTACCCACGACGTTGGCGCGGATGGTCTCGGCGCGGTGCGTCTCGCACCAGTCGACGTTGGGGCGGCCCGTGACGCCCGCGGCGTTGAACACGTGCGTCGGCGCGGCGGCGTCGATGTCGGCCTCGAGCGAGGCGCGGCTCTCGAGCCTGCCGGCGCCGTACGCGAAGGGGATCCCGCGCGCCGCGCAAAGGCCGCCCAGCAGGCCCCCGATCCAGCCCGTGCGGCCGTAGATGAGGAACTTGAGCGCTGGAGCGGGCGCCGGCTCCGCCGAGCCGTTGGTGGTGGCGGCGCCCATGCCGAGATCCGGGATGAAGGGGCGCGGAGAGGAGTGGCGGAGTGGTGATGGCGACGGGCGAGGCGGAGCTGAGCTGAGATGTGGGGGAGAGGATCAGAGGAGCCGCGGATGCTCTTTTTATTGCCGAGGTGAGCTGATGCTGTCAGAGAGTCCCCCTGGTCTGGACTCTGGAGCGAGCGATTGGGCTGGGACTGGGACACGCGAACACCGACGGTGACGCCGCAACACAGCCTGGTCCACCGCCACCTTGCGCGATCCGTCGGTGGCTCACTCTGCCCGACCGTGTTTCGCACTCGCATGACCTGGAGTGTAACGGCTGCATCCACCGACAGGGTGCCCATAAAACTGTTGCTGCGCGACAGCTGAGCTGGAAGCTTTGACAGAGAGCAAAACCACTTTTACGAACTTTGCATTGGCCAAGTGGTTAAAATCTCCATTTTTATGGATATTACAGACAGCTTGCGATACTAGGAGTAGTACTTGGATTATCGGGCGGAATTGGCGAGGACGCGCTGGGTCTGTCCGCTAGTTTACTTCCGAGATCTGCGTTTATCTGTGGAACGGGAGAACCGAGCGTGACCACGTGACCACGTGCCCGGAGACGGCCCATGAGCCATTGAGACTGGACCTCAGCGACGCCCTGTTCTCTCTGGCGGTTGGGTCCGGTTGATCCACTGGCCCCGCAAGCCAGTGAGACGTTAGACCGTATCGCTGTCATGTGCGCCCCATCACAAGCGTGATCGGATCTTTGGCTATTATTATAAGAAAAAAAAAGAAGAAGTGGTTGTACAAAAAGAAAAGAAATGGCCGCTCGTGGGTAGTCGGCCACGTTAACTTACACGGCATGCACTGTGTTTCTGCCATGTTCTTGCGATGTCTCTTCGTATTTTTTTAGGCCCGTATGTACTCTAGCAGTTCTTGAGTCTTGACTGCACTTGAGTCCTGCAGCCCTTGCTGATCAGGTGATGTTATCCGAAGCATGAATGAAACTTTCTAATGTAAACCTACGGTTAGTTTCATAAATTGAGATCCGCAGTTTTCTTTTTCTTTTTTGAATTGGAGATCCACAATTTTTAGTAGTGTTTCAGCAATTACATTAGGTTCTAAAGAAATGATGTCAGTAGAACTCGTGCTTCATAGTAGTACTGCGTTTGCCAAGAAGGCAAACAATTATCAAAGATCCACGAACAAGTACTGATTGGGCTTTAGCTTTTACCGACCAAGCCAGAACGCCCTGCATGCCTGCAACGCGAGCATCAGTTGAGATCAAAACAGAAACCTTGGCTGGTGGGTGCTGGCATCGTCCCAGAACCAACAAAATGATGTACTAGTACTAGAAAGCAACACGACACCTATCCTGCTTCAGAAAAGACAGGCAAGCCGAACCGTGGTGAGAGTTGAAGGATTACCTTGCACTTCAAATATCTTAATTAACACCCCATTAGTACACAAACGGTACGTACTAGTGCAGCATTGATGATACTAGAGGTCCTTCGGATTAGCTGATAGGCAACTCTGGTATGGCATATTCAGGACACTGGTCACTGGGTTGTGTGGGTTCCCCTGGCGTAGTGGTAGCGCGAAAAGTTTTGCCCTTTTGCACCAATTTGCTGTGGGCTGCGAAAGCGACTGCTACTCGGTCCTGCTTCATAATGGACGGTTCGTGGCTTCGTGCGGTCGTGCCGACAAGCACGAATCAGAATATCAGATCGAGTCTCATAAATACAGTATGGGTAGTAGGTATAAGCGAGTGCGGAAGCGTTTACTGTTTACCCGTCCCGTTATCCGTTGGTGAACCCGACTATTTAAGTAGACTACTGTACAGTGAAGAAGAAACAAAGCTGCGACCCCCAAGTGTTCTTGTTTTAGAAGCTGATGGAGTTTCTGGCAAGAATCTCAAGATTTGCGAAAACAAAGGCTGCGACGGGTATATCCCCGTTGCCATCCTTAGTCGTGCCGACAAGCACGAATCAGAATATCAGATCGAGTCTCATAAATACAGTAAGTAGACTACTGTACAGTACTTTAGAAGCTGATGGAGTTTCTGGCTCAAGATTTGAACAAAGGCTGCCCTTTAAGCCTGTTCGCTTGCTCATAAACGATCGTAAATTTCCAACTAAGAACAATGTTTTTCTCTCACACCAAACCAGCCAGCAGTAAATAATCCACGATACGATACGGCCTCCCGAACAAGCTGCTACAGAGTTTGCAAGAAAAATGCATGTCTGACGACAAGGGGCCAGAAATGTTTAGGACTCCACGCAATAGAGTTAGGGGGTGTTTGGTTCTCTAGTCGCTCCTAAAATTTATGTCACATCAAATGTTTAGAGGCTAATAAGGAGCATTAAATATAAATTAATTACAAAACTAATTACATAGATTGAGGCTAATTCCTGAGACGAATTTTTTTAAGCCTAATTAATCTATCATTAGCACATATTTACTGTAGCACAACGTTGTCAAATCATGGACAAATTAGACTTAAAAGATTCATCTCGCAAATTAATCGCAAGTTGTGCAATTAGTTTCGTAATTAGTCTATATTTAATACTCCATGCATGTGTGTAAACATTCGATGTGACAGGAATTTTAGAAGGAGGGGAAGGAAACAAACAGGCCCTTAGACTTTAGACATTAAATGAACGGTATAAATACCATCCACATTTTGTGCAAATTAATTGGTATGGAATTAGCATCTCCAACAACTTTTTTTTTGGGAATCTAGCATCACCAATAACTTGTACGATCGTCACTAAAAGAATCTTGAAGGTTAAACGAAGGCGGCACACGCGCGCGCGTGCGCAGAGATATCAGACTGGACATTTTTCCTGCCTCATGGTTCCAGTAGCATCCTCTCTTTCAGGAGCTTCACGCCCATGTACCTGCCAGATAAAAGATCAAAGAACAAGACCGAACGTCAGTGAGATCGAGGCCCTGAACTGAATCACCGGCAAGAACGAACGTCGCGCCATGTTGCCCAACCCAAGTGACGCGCGAGAGATCAATGTCCTGATGATTCTATACCTGCCGAGCATCATAACGGTGGCCTGCGGGTTGGTGCCCGGCGAGGCGTTGAAGGTGGAGCCGTCGATGACGCGGAGGGCCTCGACGCCGAGCACCTTGTAGTTGCGGTCGACGACCCGGCCGACCTGGCACCCGCCGTGGTAGTGCCAGATGGTCATGACGGTGTCCCTGCAGAACTGCTCCAGCGCCCTGGGGTCGCCGCCGCCGCGCCGGTACAGCGTGTTCACGGGGAAGTCGGCCGTGACGTTGAGCGCGGCCGGGAACGCGAAGTTTGGGTAGGTGAAGCGCGAGAAGGCCCTGGAGCGGATCACCCGCTCGATGGCGGAGATGCCCGCGACGCAGCGGCGGAGGTCGTCCGGGTGCGCGAAGTAGTTGAACCGCACCGACGGGTTGTCGTCGGGGTTGAGGTTGCGGAGCGCCAGGTGGCCCGTGGACTGCGGGCCCAGCACTTTCTCCAGGATGAACCCGCCCCGGAGCGCCGCGTCGGGGACCTGGCTCATGGCCTCCACGGCGCGCGCGATGGCCTCCGGCGTCCGCTCCTTGGGCGGCACCGTCGCGAGCTGCCCCGTCTGCGGAGAGAACATGCCCAGGTTCCGAGGAGGCTGCGTCTGCGTGCCCGAGGGGTGGCTGTTCCAGTTGGCCCCGCTGGCGCCCTCGATGTAGCTGCCGAACTGGGTGATGCCCACCACCTGGATCAGCGACACCTCCACCGGCGACGGCGACGGCACGTAGATGGCGTTCATGGGGTTGTCGGACATGCCCTGCCCGACGCCCGGCAGGTCGAGGACGACGTCGATGCCCAGCGAGCGGAGGTGGTCGGCCGGGCCGATGCCACTCAGCATCAGCTGCTGCGGGCTGCCCAGCGCCCCCGCCGACAGGATCACCTCGCTGGCGGCGCCGGGGCTGAGGTACGCCGTGTGAGCGTTGCCTCGCGAGTCATGGTACACCACGCCTTCCGCCACCGGCTTGGTTCCTGCAACAAAATATGTATTGCCGCAGCAGTTGGCAGTCGAACTCGGCCCAAAGCGTGTGATACCGACAAAGACGCCACGGGTACTACCGCTACACTTAACTGCAACCGTTTCTGTTCTTTTTTCCTTGCAAGATGGAGTACACTTTTAACAAAGCTTACTGGATTTGGCATGCCATGAGACGCTCTCACCTTTGTAACGGAACAAGATCCTGGACACTCTCGCCCGGAGATACAGGTCGATGCCGTCCTGGTTGGCGTACCGGAGCAGGTCCGCCGCCGTGTGCCGCCGGCCGTCCTCGTCGAAGATGGACCCGCCGACCTTGGTCCCCGGGATGTGGTCGTACGTGAACCCGTTGTCCGGGATCACGCCGGTCTCCAGCAGGCCCCTCCTTACGGCGGCCTGCCACGGGCCCAGCGCTGGGCGGAACGCGACCACGTCCTCCACCCACCGGTACGCCGCGCGCACCTCCCTGGGGTCCCAGCCGGCGGCCCTGACGTACCCGGCGCCCGCGCGCGTGAAGAACCCGGCGTTGATGCAGCTGCCGCCGCCCAGCACGCGTGGGCGGGAGTTGATCACGCCGTCCTCCGACACGAACCGCTGCGACGGGGACGACGCCGACGTGTCCGCCAGCACGTCAGAGAAGTGCGCCATGCTGAGCACGCGCGCGTCCTCGTAGGGGGAGCCCCCGCGCTCCAGCAGCAGCACGCGCGAGCGGTCCGACAGGGTGGCCGCCAGTGGGCACCCCGCCGTGCCGCCGCCGATTATGATGTAGTCGTAGTCGGCCATCCGTGGCGCGTGCACCGCGTCCTTCATGAATGTGTAGTTCGCAGCTCGCGCTGCCACGCACACATCACAAATTAAAGAGCGAAGAGTCAGCCAGCCACAACGTGAACGATGATGAATCTGACATCAGAAACAAGAAGAGTACAACAACAGGGAGAAGACGGGTCACCTTGTTGAGAGATGCACAGGAGTGCGAAGAAGCTTGCGACAGTGAGGACGGCCATTGCTTGTGCTGAGCTCAGGACAGAAGCCATTGGATCGCTAGGAAGGAAGCTCAGCTGTTGGGTTTCGAGTTTGATGATGATGCCAACTCTCAGAGTTTCGTGTGCTTATATACTAGCAAGCAGTCAGAGGTTAGTTGCTGAAGAAGCTGTTCTTGGATGAGTTGGTAGTTTGTTTGGCGCGGTTTGAGCTGACACACCGGCTCTTTTGCAGCCTGTTGGTTTCGGCTTATTTGCTCGTATCAGGCTTATAATCCACGGCTTCAACAGTATTTTTCTCTCGTACTAAACTAGCCAGCGGTACTTTCAGCCATGGATTATAAACCGATTCAGCCGAAACGAACACGCCGTTGGTCTCCGTGGTCCGCAGCCTTTGTGTCACCTGAAACCGTCCGGCAGATTCGGATATAATAATTGGCTCTGCTTCGTAGTTGTCAGCTGCTTGCTAGGCAACCGAGAGGCAATACGGAGAGTCGGAGACTGCATGATGAAGGTATACGACGCGTATCTACAAGCATGGCAATTCTTCCGCAGTCTATCCAATTCAACAAATGCATTTCAGATTTTCAGCAACAAATGCATGCTCTACTTAGCCGGCCTGCAAAATATATTTTTTAATGCAACTGAGGGGGAGAGTTCCCGACCTGAATTGTCATCGCGTGACGGCGTGAGAGCTCTCCTATTCTCAGGTTTACAATCTGATGCGATCATAAATCAAGATGAATACAAAAAGTCATGCACCGAGTACAAAATGTCTCTCCTCGGAACCATTGCTAGCGTTCCAAGTTATCCGGTCATGAGAACCGATGACCACATAGCAGGGCTAAGACCGCCCGGAGTAGTAGCCGTGCATAGGCAAAATAAATGTTTGATTTTGCACAGCTTGACCGAGCATGCCATGAGTGTGAGGAAAGAAAGGCCTCAACCACCCAACGGCAACAACTACCAGTGGCCTTTTACTTGGTTGCAGAATTACGCAGCAACTTTGTGTTAGCGCGGCGCTTCGCATCAAAATTCAAACATGTATGGTGTTCAGTGTTAGTATTTAGTTAGCTGCTCGCAACTGATTAGTTTATCCTATTCAAGGAATCCGGCAAATGAATGTCTTTTTGAAACGATTTTTTTTTTGAAACGAACGGCAAATTAATGTCTGAACTTTAAACTCTGACGGCAATTTTGAACTTGCCGCGTCAGACTCTCGTTGTTATATTACTAGATCAGTAGGGCAGTTTATTTAACGCGTACATGTTTCTGTTACAGCCGTAGCAAGGTTCGGCAAACATGGACCACTCGCAGCTTACATTAGCAGCGGCAGCCTGCAAAATTTACAGCGTCACTGCAAAGACGCAATCCAGCAGCTCCACAGCTCAGGCAGAACGTGTATAAGAGGAGAGCGGTTGGTTCATCGGTCATCAGTAGAGTGAGTTGTAAGTGCAGAACGTCGCGATGATAGAGGCTAAGCAGATCACCAGGGACGGCAGGAGGGTGGCGTTCAGGAGGCGGCTCTGCCCCAGATAGCCGGCGGCCGTGATAGTCATGTCGGCGGCAACGCGGGCCAGCGTTCCCGCCTCCGTCGAGAGCAGCCCGCCGTTGTAGGTCCCGCGGGAGAGCCTCGACGACATCACGCGAGAGAGGAGGGACAGGTTCACTCCTGCAACGCATTGTTCACAGGTGGTCAGAAACACGTGGAATGGCTATTTCAGAAACACTGCACGCAGCTTTCTGCAGTCACTACTTACCTTCGAGCACCTCGGCGAATACGAAGGTGATGAGAGCTGACGTGACATATTGTGGGACGGAGTAGTGAGGGGTGAAGCAGAAGCTCATGACAATGCCGATCAACACCATGATCTCGGAGGCCACCAGAATTTGCCTTTGGTAGTTGAGCAAGAAAGACAAGTGCAGAATTAGCAAAATGCGTTGGTCTCATGGTCTCTCCGGCTTTCAGACTAAGTGAATAACGAACATGACATACCAGTCCTGGAACAAGTTGGTGACATAGCTCCCGACGATGACATTAACTGGAAGAACCGTCAGGCCAAGAACTACTAGAAAGATTGCCACGGTACTAGTTGTCCACTTAAAATAGAACGTGGTCACAACACTTGACTCCGAGAGTAGAATTTCCATGGCGAACTTGAGCATAAAGTAGATCAGTAGCTGAACCTGAGAAGTTTCAGAGAACAGATGTAAAGCTAATGCAGAGGAAACGGTGAGAAGCAGGAGTCGCACCGTGCATCCATGATAGTAAAGGGCATTATTACAAGCAAAAAATCTGAAAAAAAATGGTAGAGTATGGAACCTTCACAGATGGTGTCAGCAATCTGTATGCTGCAGCAAGCGATGTCGCGGGTCTATGAGATTCTTCGGGGTCGTCATCGTTGTCGTCATTGTCCTCGCCATCGTCATCCTGCCCTGTCTTTGCATCAATGAGCAAAGGCTCTCCGAGGCCATCCTCCAAATGACCGCTTACTCGACGGCCTGTTTTGACCGAGAAATTTTGTAAAGCCATGTTGAAAGCATATGGTTCCTGATAGTGACAAGAGTCGTGTTTTTCAATCACGCAAAGTAAAAGAGCTTACCAGAATCAGATGACTGCGTGCTGACTGAATTCTCTGTAGCAATGTGGCCCGGCTCTTTGAATGAAATCCACAACCAGAACAAATATGCAAGCCAAGCAAGACACATGACCCACCCAGGTAAGGTGTTCTGATTGAATGTAAGCCCATAGATCTTAAATTTCGTCTGCAGCAGACCGGCAAGAGCAGGACCACATGCCATTCCAAGAGCACTAGCACTGACAAACCCAGCAGATGCCTGCATCCTGGTTTTCAGGGGTACACAGTCGCTGATGTAGCGGCGGTTCACGGCTCTGGCCGAACCCAAGCTGCAGATGATTGTCAATTTGATCAAACAACAGTTTCAGATCCCAATACTGATACTAGCACAAACACTGACTAGAGAAAGAAATAAAACTTGATTAACCGAGAAATAGACAGAGATATATTATAGTAACTATACCCGCACAGTAGTCGGCCAACAATAAGAACAGTTAGGGAATTCAGATCATATGCCAAAGCATACAACAGGTTCCCCAGAAATAACATAATGCTGCTACGATTTGTTCGACCAGGCACTGAAATATACTGAGGAGAAGATTTGGGCAACTGCCATTGATCCGATAATCACACCGCAAACAGTCGCTGCAGCTCCCAAGCTTACTGAATAGTCATCAGCAGTTGGAACGATGATGTATGTGTTAACCATGTACAGAAACGTGTTTACTAAGTTTAGCAGCAGTGACAGGAAATGGTAATCCTTGTCATCACCGAGATCTGAGCCACTCTGCATACCCTCCGCAACGATAAGTGCATGTTGCCCTAAAAATTGCAGAAAGCTTGTGGAGTGTGTGAGTCTCTGTACTGAATGATTTATTTGTTCTATGACGGGATCCTGCAAATGAGAAGAAAAGGTGAGCATGTTGACTTTAGAGTTCAGATCATATGTGAATACATTATATGGTTAAGAGGATAGAAAAAGAATCTAAGACCTTCAAGATGAGTGATGGGTAATCATAGATATTTGCTAAGCTTCCTTGATGATCTTGTAGATAAGCAAGGTTGCGAGACAAAGCACCAACAACAGCCACGACTCCCTGTATTCGCGAAGTGCAATTAGAGGAAAAGGATGATCCTTTTTCAAATAAAAAGGATGCAGTATCATGATAGTTTACCACTTGCTTGAAGATCTGCTGAAGCTGAGAATAAGGATGGTTTGCTCGGGTAGAGACGTAATAATCTGTAAACTTATAGCCAAAGCGCTTATCGAACTTCTTAAGTATCTTCCGGATACCAGTAGCATTCATATCAAGAAACCTAAGTAGCTTCACAAGATCATATCCAACTTCCCTGTAAGCCTGGCGTAGTTGACAAATTTGGGATACATCAGACCGTTCCATAAGCATGGCACACTGCGCTCCTAAATTCTCGATCCTCCTAGCCAGATGACCTTGTTGTTGTAGAAGAAATAGCACAATCTTTTCAATCTACAAGATGTAAGCTTATGTGAACGCTGTTGGTAAGGTAGTAACATGCAACTGAAGAAGGACATTTTGGTGTTGGTGGTTTAAACTGTGGGGGGAGGGGGCAAATATGCTCAATGGTACCTGGTCATCAAGCACCCTTGAGAACTCCTTAAGAACCTGGTCACGATTTTTTCCACCAGTTTGGGTCTGCTGTACATACTGTTTTACCTTTTTCTTCATCATCTTATAATTAATATAGTATCTATCAAAAGCAAAAGAGAGAATAGAGTCATTGAGGTTTTTTAAGGGAAAACTCGTTGATATTGTGAACGAAATGGTGTTTCATGAGAAATGGAACTGAAGAAAATTCCAGGTATACAGAACTATCGGGTTTATAAGAAGCACGATAACAAAGAACCATATATATATAGCTTCAGTTGCATTTCTAATATCAAAGGTGCAAAGTAAGGACATTTGAACTAAATATCTATGTTTGCATATATAGTTACATAATGAAACCGTATTTTAAAATGATTGCAAAATTTTCTGAGTACCGAAGTAACTTACTCTCGCCACTCCTCCAATTGGTCCACCATCAATTTCTTACAGAAATTAACCATCTTGGTTTCAGCACCTGAAACTGAAACTGAAAAGGATGGTTATTGTGACACTATTTCCAGTCGCGTTTTATGCACTTAGATAAAAAAAAGACCCAACAATAAATCTTAACGAGGTTCCTGCCGTAATTTAGTATAGCACACATCTTAAGTGCTAAATTGCATATCAAGGGTCACCCTGCATGAAAGCAAAAAAAAAAACCCAAAGCCCGACATGCCACTCAGTAATTGGACAAAAGTCACTTTACAATCGAGAACCTAAGATAACATTAAAATTTGTAGCTAAAGCAAAAAATCTTCCAGACAGATCCAAAAGGATATGGCACGTGTCAAGCAAGGTGACATAGAATCGTCTAGTGACATTGTCAGATCAAGCCAATTTAGGATGCTCCATCGCTGTCCAGGATATGCAGTAACACTAATGCACAAAAACGGCTCTAGGGTCTCCCAAGAGCTAAGCTAAGCACCTTATGACGACATCCTTACGCTCTTCATGCACATGCTACCCGTGGAGAGGAAAGAACTGGCCATGCCAATTAGTAAAGCCGTACTGTGCTGTGCCCGGAAAGTGAAGGCGCAATGCATACTCTGTTTTTTTTTTAAAAAAAAAGACAAAAGAGGGAAAATAAAAACTTTTGTTTGGACTTGACATGCAGTGGTACCACGAAAGTGAACCATCAGGTTACATGATCAAGAAAGACCCGTACAGCTGAGGGTGGTTACTCTGGAAAAAAATAAATAAGGATGCACTAGCGGAATTTTTTTATGGGAAATGAGTGGATGAAATTCACCAAGAAATTAATGACATTATCTTAAGAAGAAAATAATTGCATCTGAAGATGCTTTGCTTCATCAGTACATACAAACTGGTTCAGCCTCTGATCTCAACCATCAGTGTGATACTCCTAAGGTTCCGTAACAAAAACGACAGGCATGTGCAGTACAGAAGGTACCATTTGGAAATGATTGCCTAAAACAAGACATATAATCGAACATTTGTTTTGGTTGGTTTAGTTTTGAGGTGACGTCGGTAGGTCTTTGGTTTGTTGTTGTGAGAAAAAAAACACACATTGGCATTTGGTGATAAGTTCGATTGAAACCAACCAGCGAACATGTTGAATGTGTTTTCACTTGTTTGTTGAGATAGTGAGAGAGTAGAGGCCTACAAAAAGGTAGCATATACTACCACCACCAATGAAAAAGACGAAAAAAAAGAAGAAATTATACATACGTACGTATGTTCCAAGCGCAACAAACAAAATGGCCAAAAAAAAAAAAATCAAGTTCTGAGTTAAATGCCGAAATTCCGTATATTCGACATGAGGAGAAGATAAATCTTATTTCGGGTTTAAACAGGGGAAATAACGACAGAACATATGGCTTACCGTGGCGCACTTTTTTGAATTATACGAGCTACGGCGCGCGGCTCCGTCCCCTCCTCCGATCTCGCCGGATGATCGATCGCCTCTCTTAGCTAGATGACCATCAACAAAACTCGATCGAGCACGAAGAGAACCGGCAAGCGGAGGCAATTTGTCTGCTCCAGCTGGGCACGATCAAATCAAAGCAGAGAGAACGCGAGCCCTACGGAGAAGGCATCATTCAGAGCCAGGAAGGAAAGCCAAATTGATGCAGGTGCGTGCGCAGGGACGGAGCGATCGATCCGGCGAGACGAACGCCACGGCGATGAGGGCCTCGGGAGCTCGTTCGCGCACTGCAATGGCGCGCGTGCGGCGAATGCAATAGGCTTGTCTGTGTCAGTCAGAATGTGAGATGGAAGGGGAGGAGGAGGCGGGAGGAGGTATTTATAGCGGCGACGCACGAGGGGAGGGAGAAAACGGAGGGGAAGGAGGTGTGGACGGAGGTGGGGGGGGGACCTCGCCGGGGTTGTGGTGGCGGAGACAGGCACTCCGCCGGCGGGCCGTGTTGCTGTCGGGTCGCCGATGCGGACGTGGCGGATTCGATCGGGACGACGCCTTTTGGCAGCGCCCCTGTGGCCAAAAATGCCTCGCCACCCCTGACCTCTGCTCCTCACTCCTGTTTCTTTCTCCCCTCTCCTTCCCGATTCATCGGCCGAGATGGTTTGGGTTTCAGCACGGGTAACGGGTTGGAGTCGGGTGCGCGCGGACTGTTCATTGAAACTGCACCGCAAAATGTTCTATGATACCGGGTATCACGTGATCGAGCTCCAATCGATTCTCTACTCTAGAATAAATAAGCTCAATATAAGAAGTGATTTTGTGCGAGAAATGAACAAGGAGAAACTAGTTTTCAGCTCTAGCCCTCCTAGTTTATTTTAGAGAATTGAATAATAGAATTAGCATAGAATTACTTTCCTTTTTTTTCTGAAAAAAAAGAATTACTTCAATGTAATATATTGCTTAGTAGCAGTGGCGGATCCAGGATTTCAAACATGGGGGTACGGACCTAAGCGATGCAATTTGCTAATGATATAATATAACGGCATAAAATATTTAGGTATATGGATTGATAAGGATACAATTCATCAACATTCATACAAAGATAGTCATTGCCAAGATCTTAATAAGCATATTAGTTTCTTGGTGATTCAGAGAATCGGAGTGGAAGAATAAATCTTTTGTGCTTTATTGAGTAGTCCATAAAAAGTAATTCACTATTTCTCATAATGCCATGACCGTTAATTGAGTAATGTAGAAATGATTCTTTTTCAAAAAGTGTTTTAATCAAAATGTTTTATGATACCCACGTATCACATGATCGAGCTCTAAGCCTATTTCGTAGATATTGTCTTGCTCATAATCCAGTGAGAAGCGATTCTCTATGATTTTCTAGAATAAATAAACTTGATATAAGTGATTTTGTGCGAGAAATGAATCAGGAGAAGCGATTCTCTATGATTTTCAGCTCCTAGCATCTAGTCTATTCCAGTGAGAAGCGATTCTCTATGATTTTCTAGAATAAAATCAGTATAGTATTACTTTAGAGCCTCATGTATTCAGCTTGTAAACTATTTTGGAAGCTCCGGCAAACAACTTGCAATAGGTTCGTTGTAGTAATCCATAAGACGTTAAACCCACTATAATAGCGTGCCCGTGCTAACGCTACGGTTAAAACAAAAGACCAATATGTCTTTTTGAAAATGAAGTAAATAGTGAAATGGATTAAGATTCATGCCGACAGGACGAATGGAACAATGAACAAAGGAAGGTATTGCAAAAAAAAAACATTAAATTGCAAATCTTGCCTGCCTTATCCCTTCAAAAAATGTGCATCATGTGATCCAAACCATCATAGGCAAAGATTCCTAAAAAAAATCATAGTGTAGCAAGACCAGTGGCAAAGAAATCTTAAACATTAAGTCAAATGATTAGAAATCAGGCCACCAGCATCAACCATTCGAGTTGACTTTCAAGGTTATGAAGCAAATATATTACCCAGCAAGTATATTGCAAGATTGTGACACATTCTAGTACATAGTGCAGCGAGCGTAGACTTATCCAAGTTACATTACATAGTATACAGTTTTTAAAAATAAATAAAAAGGTGAAAAATAATAAACTCCTCTCCTTTGCTAGAATCAATCTTCCAAGCCATGATAGCACCATCAGCACTCACTGAGTACATAATGTGTCTCCCAGGCACAAACTCCAAACCATGAAGTTTAAATAGAATTCAGTCCTAAGCCTTGAAAAAGAGGAAAAATGAACGGCATTCAGGACCCACGATATCAAATTTTCTAGTGCTATATGTCTGCAACTTGTCAGTTGTCAACTAAGACAATTCAAGTTATGGACAAATCGTAAAATACAGTAACTTATGGCAGTTGGTAACAAACAGTGTCTTGCGCTTGCAAATGAGTTGAGTATTGAGGGAAAGATAAACATACCATCTGCAGTGAAGGGGCACAAACTCTGTTAACATCCTGAATCACCGCCGAAAAGTAGGTGGGCCAAAAATGGGTACTCTTGGAGATGCTCTAAGTTGTATTCACTGGGAATTTAAGAAGAGTTCAATGCACATATATTCATCTTCCATTGCTTGGTTATTTTAAGAAGATAAGACATAGTCTTATTTTAATAAGAACATAGAACAGAGGAGGTGATTGAAGATGAGACTGAGAACCATGACAAAGAAAAATGAGCCAATAGTAACAAATACAGGTGCAGGTTCAGACTTCCGAAAGAACTGCTCGGTACATCATGTACCTTTTACATCGTTAAAGAATTAAGCCATCGATTTGTCACAAAAAGGTGCTGATGTTCAACTCTTTTGTTAAAATTTAGAGTGGTGTAA